AACCTAAGTTTGACAATGGAAAAGTTTTTCTACCTTAAATAGTATCACATCCAAGATGAGAAGTAGGCAACTAAAGAACACTTAAGAGATCTGTGCTTATTAGTACAAACTGTAATACTTTGTTTTGAGATAATTGTAAGAACCAAATTCTAGGGAAGCTATTAACAATTTAGCATTTGCTCTTTGCTGTGAGAATGTGGATTCCACTTACTGAAAAACAATAATATGGGAATGCTTGCTATAAACTCAAAGTACTGAATCAGAGGGGTTGGGCTGCTTAGCTGTATTTCTCTCAACTTTGTTAGACAACAAACTTGAATATCAGATGTAAGAGGGCAAGCATGACTCTGTATTAGCTTCCTATGCAGATGGTGGCCACTTCGAGTCTTTAACAACAGAAACGGTATTAGGAGAAAACAGAGGTGGTACAGGGGGAGAGACCACAGCATCCCAGACTAACAATAGTTCATGCAGGAAATTTTATTCTATGCTTCTGGAGATTTTGAATGCTTTAGTGCAGCTGTATTTGGAAGAAGAATGATCTTACACCTCCCCACTCTCATTTTCTCACCCCTTATTTTTAACTCCTTAAAATCTGATTTTCACCTCTTCACCAGTGATCTCCTAATTAGCAAATCCAATGATTATTTATCTTAGTCTCAAATCTATATTCCCAGACCTGACTTTACTCCTGAGCTCCAGTCCCAAATTTACAACTACTTGCTAGACTTTTCCACCTAATTGTTCCACTAACATCTCAAACTCAACATGTCAAACCTAAATTATCCCCTCAAAGCTGCTTCCTCTTCCTGAGTTATTTCTGATCATCTCCCTCCATAAGCCCAGCTCAAAGCCCGTGATCTCTGCCTTATTCTACTTACTTATTCTAGTCCTGTCCTTTCATCATGAGAGGTCCTCTGGATTCATCCTCCTGTAAATGTGTCTCATAGATGACCCTACCCTCCTAGCTCCACTACTATCATTCTAATGAAAGTTCTTACTAACACATGCTTAGATTTTTAAATGCCTCCTAAATATCACTGATGGCTAAATGAAGTCTCACTCTGCTCCAATCCATCCTTCACACCTCCACTTGATTAATGTTCAAGTATTGCTTGCATGTCACTCCCACTATTTCACCGCCACCACCATTCAAAAACTTTTAGTGGTTCCCTACTGTCTTCCAGTAAATTCCAAATTCGTTAGCCAGAAATTAAAGGTCCCAAATAATATGGCCCCAATCTTCCTTTCCTGCATTATTCCCTATCAGAACACTGAACTCTAGCAAAGCGATTATTTACCATTCTCTGATTCAAGCCAATTCAACAAACTTTCATTAAGCATTAGTTACATGCAAGATACTCTAGAGATAGGTTCTAGAGATACAAAAATAAAGTATTCCCTGCCCTCAAAGATCTTATACTTTCCTGCCTCCATGCTCATGCTATTCCTTCCAAATGATGTCCTCTCTACCCCCAGTCTCACTCATTATAATCTGAACCACCCAGCTTTAATCCCACCTCTTCCATGAAGTATTTCCTATCATTCCAATGATCTCACTTACACCTTAACTCCCACAGCACTTTGGCTGTGACATTTGCCAAATAGAGCCTTTTATTATTTTAGCTAGTATAGGGCAGGGACTAAAATGTTTATATTTTTATATTCCCCACAAAGCTGAGCAGGAATTAAATATTTATTGAATAAACATGTTGAACAAATGAATGAACAGGTAATTAGATGATAGCTAAAGTCCCTTCTAGTTACAGGATTCTAATTCTAGAGTTAAGGTCCTAGAAGTAACTAGAGACCTTTCCCTTGAGGCGGCCTCTATGAAACAGAAACTTCCTTCTGGTAGTGCAGGATCACCACCTAGTGGTCACTGATCAGCTTGACCAACTGTTGGTCTACCTGCCGCCCCGCCTCCCCCAAAAAAGCTACTGATGTAGGACCATGTTCATTGGGACCATCCACAAAATCTTTACAACTTTTCCCCTTACCTTACCAAGACTGAAGGGTTGATTCCTCAGGGCTTTCTGAGACCTGTGTGTCCTTCCCCTGAAAATGAACTAAACAAGGTCTGGTGCCTGGAAGTGAAAACTTCACGTAGATTCTTCCCCAGATTGTTTCTGACTTCGTAGAGCCCCAAATACCCCAATTAGTTCCATCACAAAGTCATAAATCATTTTAGTACAGGCTGGGCTGAAACAACTTCAGAATCATTTAACCACATCATCTGATCTCTTAAATACAGAGTTTTTTCCACTAAGGACAAAGGCAACCTCCAAGAGAAACAAATTAAGTACAGATGCCCTTACCACAGGACCCCCACTGATCAAACCCCACTTCAGACATTAATGCTACCTCAAAACTAAAGACGAAGTGAAGAATGTCAACACTCCCAATCACACCTCATCTATATGTAGGACCAGTTAGATGCCAGCCCATCAGTATTGCAAAACAAGGTCAGCAAACTAGAGTTCAAAGTAATCCATTCGTGGCAAATATCCTAGAACAGCAACAGTCATATTGGGGACTAGAGCTCAGGAATATAGTGACTAGGACAATTCCCAACCATACTCAGTCATCTAAGCTTCTTGGCTACTTGAGTACTTAGAGAAAGCTGAAAGCATCTGACAGACTTCTTATAATCCTGGCCTTTAAGGCCTCATTTCCCTGGTCCTAAGACAGCCTACTTGTCTTGATGGTTCTTAACTCTTTGTGGTGAGGAAAAGGCAGTTGGTGACAGTTACCATGTCCCTCCTCTCAGAACACTGGGGGCATATTCCCCACCCAGAAGGTTGGGGGATGGGTATGCTGAGGCCTTCGGTAAACTCTTCTCCATCTGTCCTCCTCTATTCCTCTTAAATCACCTAAGTTCCTATGCCCAGAGGGCTATAAAAATGTGCATACCCAGCAATAGCACTTTTAGGGCTATATCCCAAAGAGATCATACAAATGGGAAAAGGACCCACATGTACAAAAATATTCATAGCAGCACTTTTTGTGGTGGCAAAGAACTGGAAATTGAGAGGATGCCCATCAACTGGGGAATGGCTGAGCAAGTTGTGGTGTACGAATGTGATGGAATACTATTGTGCTATAAGAAATGATGAACAGGCTGACTTCAGAAAAACCTGGAAAGACTTGCATGGTCTGAAGCTGAATGAAGTGAACAGAACCAGGAGAACGTTGTACACAATAACAGCCACGTTGTGTGATGACTAAATATTGATAAACTTAACCCTTCCCAGCAATACAAGGATCTAAGACATCTCCAGAGGCCTTGTGATGGAAAATGCTATCCACATCCAAAGAAAGAACTATGACAGTTGAATTGCTATTTTTTTTCCTCTTCTGTTGAGTTTTGTTTCCTCTTTCTGATGGTTCCTCCTATTGGTTTTAATTTTTACTTACAACATCACTAATGTGAAAATATGTTTCATATGAATGTAAATGTACAGCCTATATCAGATTGTGCGGCGTCTTGGGGAGGGTGGTGGGAAGGAAGGGGGAGAAAAATTTTAAACTCAAAAGCATATGGAAGTGATTATTGATAAATCAGAATAAATTAATATAAAAAAATCACCTAAATTCCAATATCAGAGAGGTAGCCTTGAGAGTATATCAGGAAAACTGCCCACATAAAACTTCATTTTCTGGATCCATGAATTAAATGTAGTTGATTAATATTGTTGAAAAGTGGCATAAATGATGAAATCCTTTTGGTATGGATCTGGAATATAGTGACAAGGGCAGGTAGAGAGAAGAGAAGCGATAGATGTACCTTCCTATTTCTGTTTATTTTAGGCCGGTGAATTGTCATTCCAATTGGGACATATACCAATTAATGGCACAAAAAGGCCACTCACAAGTAGAGATGGGATAAGAAGAGCATCCCAGCTGGAGGGATGCCAAGCTGAGATGAAAACATTTGCCATGGCTAACTGTGAAATGACATCATTCAGTAGAAATACCTTTGGCATAGGGGCAAGTGGACCTGGGTCTGTGGTACAGCAGAAAGAACACTGAACCTGGAGAGCAGGACACGAGTTCAATTACTGGCTCTGTCACTTACTACCTGGGTGACTCCAGACAAGCCACTTCTCGGAGGCTCAGTCTCCTCATCTGTAAAACAAGAAAGTGGAGTCTCGAAGCTCTCCATCAATGACACTAGGATCTCAGAGTCCCCAGCTGTGCCACCAACCTCTCTGGGACTGATAGATCATCTCTAAGACAAGGGGCCAAGGATCAGGGAACCTAGATGATCTTTCAAACTCTGACTTCATGCTTTGGGAGAAGAATACAGGGAAGCGCATCTTCTCCACTCCCCAGCTTTGAAACAAAATTCATCCTAAATGTTATAGTAGAGTGTCTAACATTTTCCCCCAAATCTAAAATCCTATATAGACTCGATTTGAAACTCAATATATTTTCCTGTAAGTTCAAGCACCCCAGAAACTAGAGTTCTTTCAATCATTATCACTAATAGCATTTTTAATAATAATTGCCCTTTTGAAGCCTGCAGAGTGTTTTATGTATACTATCTCATCTGGGCCTCACAATAATCCTGTGAAGTAGGTACTACCTGTGTTATTACCCCATTTTACAGAATAGGAAACTGAGGCTCAGACATGTTTAGTTCAGTGCTCTTTCTGCTATATTATGCTTAGTCTAGTGTCAAGAAATAGGGGCCCTTAATATTATTTGATAATGATCCCACTCCCACTAGGGTGTATATCCAGAGGATTAGTGGGAAAGTTACCCTGGTGGACAAGCTCACAAATCGCATCCCCACTCTGTGCTGTGCCCCCACCTATAAAACATTCTAAACCTTCAACAAGGAAAACAGAACTCCAAAGGGTTTATGTGAAAGAGAAAAAAAAGACATAAAATGGTATTTCTACAGGAAACATTTCACTTGTGTCCGTATTCCTCTCCCACTCCCAGGATGAACCACCCTACCACCAGAACAGATACATGAATCTTCTAACCCAAAAATGACTATTTTAATTATTAAGTCAGAACCACTCAAGAATAACAATCCATATTTCATTAACACAACTTTCCTAGGCTTAGAGGAACCTATTCTCAACCCCTGCCCTTTTCTTAACACCCTGACACCTACCAGAAACAAGTGGAAGGGAAAGAAGGTAAGTAGTCACACACAGGCATGCATAAGGGCTCCAGAGAAAAGAGAAACTAACTATTTTCCCCACAGGAAAGTGGAGGAGTCAATCTTATCCTGAGGGGACTGGCTATCGGCCTGGATGGAGCTGACAAGTATGACTGACATCTTCAATATCCTATTCTCACTCTAGGCTAGATGGTGGGGTGGGTGGCTGCTCCTCCTGCTCAACAGAAGCCTGAAGAATCTGTACGGGCTCTGAAAGTTCCTCTTTCAAATTCTTTCCATTGACAGCCAAGGGAGCCTTAGAGGTTTCCTCTGGTTTCACTTCCTGAGCTTCAAGCTCCCACTGTTGTGTCTGGTCTTCCTTGGCTGAGACAATACCTGAAAGAAAGATCAATTCTCCACTGGTGTTTTTTGTCTTTTCCTAAATCCCCATAAGCAGCAGAGGGGCAGGAAAGGAAAGGCCGGGCAGAGGGTCCAGGGAAGTTCCACCTGGAAGATGAAGGCCCCATTCTGGTCCCCTTGGGCTCAGCTTTCCCCAACCTCTGCCATTTACACAGTCTCACCCCAACCAGCCACTTACTGTCTTCTTGATGCAGGAGGTTACTGATGGAAACTTGATTTAACTCCAAAAGCTTGCTGCTCTTTGATTTCTCTTTGAGCTCCTGAAATCCATATGATTTAATGGGTAGATAAGCACAAAAGCTCACATGTGTGTGACTGTGTGTCTGTGTGTGATATGAAAATGAGAGAGAAAAGAAACCTGAAAGACTCGTGGATACTAAAATGACTTCTCAAATAAACTCAGCACCTAAGATAAGACAACAGGAGACTGTGGGGCATCTTACCATCTTGTGTCCATTCCATGATTAAATATCCTGGGTACTTTAGAATATCCACCTTCACTTGATACTCTGGCAGTCTGGAATAAGGACAGGGCCAAACTTTCCCCCATTATACAGAAGCTTGGTGGAGGCACCTAGGAACCATCTTTATTCCTAGGGCACCTTCACAGTCACTCACCATCTCTGAGGTTTGTTGGATCTCACTCTTTGAAAAGTTTGGCTTTCTGTCAGCTTTGTCAATTTTCTGCACCGGCTTCTTGAGACCTAGTAAGCAAAAAGCCAAACTACTCTTCTTCTGTCAGCTTACATTTCATCCCTAAGCTCCCATTTTGCTCCTTGTTAACAGCTGGGCCTTCCTTCTGTCAGTTCAGAACATAATCAAGATGGCAGCCTAATGGAGGGTAGGGGGAAGTCCTATTCAAAACTATGCATGACTATTCATCTAAGACTATTACCCTCCTCCCAGCTCCCTACCCTTCACACACCCTACAGGATGGTGGACCAGGACAATGTATGGGAAGTGACTCTGGACAATTCTGGGGGGCCTAAGTGACCCATCTCTGCATGTGAAGACAGCCCATCTAGCTGTACCTTTTCTCTTCAGCTTAGGAGTTGCTTTGGCCACTCTGGAATGTAATTCTCTCATATTTGCTGGATATCTCAACACTGGACTCTGAAGAAACATAAGAATAGCTCCGATTTGAATGAGCTCTTTTCCTCATTCAAATTGAACCCATATCTCACTATGTCCATATTTCAATACCTGAAAGATCTGTGATTCTGTCTCTGTACAAACACAGAATTTAATCCTGCCGTGCCTTAGGAAACAAGTTTTAGGACAGTGTCCAATCTGATGATGAGTAAGCCTCTCCAAACTTCACAGGAACCAACTAGATTGGTCCTCAGAAAAAAAAGACATCCAGAGATAGCTAGGTGGCACAATGGATAGAGTACTGGCCCTGGAGCAGGAAGGCCTGAGTTCAAATTTGGCCTCAGACACATGAAACTCACTAGCTGTGTAACCCTGGGCCAGTCACTTGACCCCAATTGCCTCTCAAAAAAAAAAAAAAAAAAGGACATCCAACCTGTCATAGAGCCCAAACCCAAAACCTTTCCCATCTGGTAGTGCCTGTCAGAGTTTAACTGGCACTGACACAACCTTCCAGAACCCAGAGTCACCTCTTCACCAGGATGAGACCTTGGAGAAGAATCGTGCAGTACACTGTACTAGCAGGTGTTATTATGGAAGAGTGGCAGAAAGTATGCAGAAGAAATAGAAGACACTGTCCCTGTTGTGAAGGAATACAATCAAAGGAGAAAACCTTTTTAGCTGCTTTTTTCAAGACTCTCTACCACCCAGAATTTTTTTTCCTTCTTCTTCTATATCATTCCACCATGGAGAAGTTAAACTTTCCGGGGAAAAGAGTGCTAGTTGTGCCCTTTTCTTATCCCAGATCTATTACTGACCTTACAGTCATCCCCTCCTTCCCCCTTACAGAAGTCCTTTAGTTACTATTGGTGCCTTGGACTGAAAATGCATAGCCTAAATTATAGCAGCTTAGGTGAGGGCCAACTCCAACCTTGGGTTTTCTCCATGACCCTGGCTAAACAAGTGTTCAAGACTCACTCCCTGTTATCAGTAACTAGGCTACTCCAAAGAGACCAAGTCCCACTCACTACCATGAGGAACAGAACTTAAGTAGCACCCCAGTCTCAAGAGTAAGCTGCCCTTTGCTACAGTCAGCATGGCATAACAGAAAGAGCTGGGCTGGGAGTTGGGGTTCTAGTCTAAGCTAAGCCACTAAGTAGCTATGTGACTCCAGCCAGATAACTTCCCTGGGGGCTTTAGTTTCATCCTCTGTAAATGAAGAATTTGTGATGCATAATCTATAAAATCTCTTTGAGCTCAAAAACATCTAAATCTTTAGTAGTAGTAAATGCTAAATGCTCTAACAAAGGCAGGAAACTGTATAACGATGAACACCTGAAAGGCAAAAAAAGTAAAATTCCATTAAAATTCTAATGTCAGAGAACAGGACAGCTCCAACACCACAGATTTTCTATGCTACAATGACAAGAAAAACTGCTATCTGCTCTCATGCTATACACAAGGCACACAATATGCGACCATGAGCATAACTTCTAAACTTCCAAGACATTTTATGTACATGTTTTGTCTACAAAACTGGATTCTAAGCTTCTTAAAGACAGATATCTCACAGGGACTCAATGACTGCAGGTCATCAATAAAGACTTGTAGCCTGTTTAAAGAGCACACAGCCCTCCTACTCTGCTAACGCTCCCCTGGGTAGCTGCTTCCCAAGACCAGGTCTGACAACAAGGTTGCCAGTGCTGTGGACTACAGTACTCATCCTTAGAGCCTGCTGAGTGAAAGAACATCTTCCCCTCAGACTGTCCTTGCTCTTACCTGAAGGTTTATTCTGTGCACGGCCAGAATCATCTTTGTCTTAGACAACATAAATCCATGCCCTTCATGAAAAAGGTTCTCTTCACTTATTCCGTCCAGTTGGTCCATCTTTGAAATTGTTTTCTCTTCATCAGACAAAGAGCTGAGGAGAAGAAGGACAAATAAAGAGTAAACAGTAGTTCTATTCTAAAAGAATATGAATGAGGGGTTAAAATGGCTAAAGAGTCAGTGAAATTTCCCTATCTAGACCATGAAAGGGGTCTGCACAAACCAACGCTCTGTCTGCAAAACCATCTAGAGATACTTATCGAGAGATACAACTGCCCATCTGTGCCCAGTTGAAAACCTAAGGCAAAAGTAGAAACAGATTAGGAGAGGACATGCATTGCACTTATCCTTCTTGACTCAGAAAAAAGCAGGTTCATCTTTTGGTCTTCACAGAGAAGAGGAAGGAGGAGGGGGAGAAAAGAAGGAAGAGGGATTGGGGGAGGAAGAGGAAGGTAAGGAGGAGTGGGAGGGAAGGGGAAAGAGGTACAGAAGAACTCAACAAGTGTTTCACATACATTCTCTCATTCAATTCTGCCAATAATCCTATGAGATAGATGCAATTATTATCCCCATTTTACAGAGGAAAAACCTTGAAGACCAGAGAAACGTTGTGATCCTAAGGTCAAACAGCTAGTAAGTGTCAGAAGGAGGATTCAAACCCAAGTCTTTCTGACTCCAAGTTCATCATTAAACCACGCTATGCTCCAAGGGACGCTCACCTCATTAATGAATGCTTGGGGAATGTGAAGGTCCAGGAAGGCAAGGATTCCAGATGTGAAGATGGGGTGACTGGAGATGGTGGAGGCACCTTTAGCCATCGATGCATCAACTGGGTAGAACAGGGCTGACCACCAGTAGGGATTTCTGTTGATTTCTTTTTCTTGAAGAGAAACAAATAGTGAAAACAACTCCCTCATTTTCTTATCACCACCTTGGGTTCATACTTCTTCCAATCAACACACTAGCTTTATAATACTAATCCTAACTTGTCCCTTCCTTCCAAGCATAATTTCTGCTTTATTTTGCACAATTTCTCACTTCCTCTACAACATTGTTCTTGTCCTATTTTCCTTCCAACAGGTCCCTGACACCACTCCGGTAGCCAGCTAACTCTATGTCATCTCCCCTGGCACCAATTAAGGGTGTCTCCTCTAGAAAGATCTACAAAGAAAGCTTTTCTCCCCAGATGGATAAACATAAGTAGATAAGGGAAAAGATTTTTTGAATGGAGAGAAATTTGGTGACTCCAACTGGAGGACGTCTCCTGGATGCTTTCCTTAATTGGGAGCTCAAGAAAACTGGTAAGAAAAGAATCTAAACTAACAGAACAAAAGCATCAACACTTTGATCAGTGAGACTAAACAAAGAGTTTACAACCTTCTGAGATGCTCTCTTGCTGATCCACTCCTGGCACGGTATAATTTTGCTGATCTTCAAGGGTACAAATGATTTCTTATCCGGGCTCAGTCTAAATAAACTAAAGCATGAAGAGGCCCATGAATTGAAAGCTGTCCAGGGACTTCTCTACCCACTCCCAGATACCTTAAATACAAGAAACAATGATTAGTCAGAAAATGATGAGGCCTCATTCATAACGCTGGTTGAGAATGGTGGTGACTTCTCTCTCTGACACCAGCCATCCAAGTGAGCTGAATTTAATGGTAAGGCCTTCGCAAAAGCTGCTAAGTAGAAACATGGACCAAAGTGACAGAGTCTGGTCTATACGGTCACTTCTTTACTGTTCAGCACCTTTAACATCCCTCAATCAGAGCTTGAGAGCCCCAACAGACATGAGAGTCATTATTTTCCTGATTCAGCTATAGAGGTCCATAAACTCTTTTATTCTCTGTTATGTGGAACTCTCGCATATTTTGTTATTCTGTGCAAGTACGACTGGTAAAAGGTAAAAAGACTAAGAAAGGATCTGCCTAAAGGAAGCAGAGCTTTGATTACTCCTGACAAGCAGGGAAGGAAAGCTTGGGGAGGGCAATTCTAATTTCTGTTCGAAACCCTTTCTTGAGAGAAACCTAGAAGGAGAGAATCTCTAGGAGTTTCATACAGGTATAAGATCTAAGGACTCCCAAGGCTAGGAACAGTGCTTACTCTGTGCTATAGTTCTGGTCAGGTTTCTTGTGTTTCACTTGTTCATTTGGGATCCATACCATAACCAAATTCCCACCATCTGGACATTTTGGAAGCTGTGTTGCATTCAAATTGAACACTGGGAGCTATAACAAAAAATGAAAAGATATGAACACTGCTAATTTGCCCCCTGGGCTTATAAGGCCCAGGTACTCAATTCCAAATAAGTACCCAAGTGGCACAACAGGAGTCAGTTAGGGAGACTGACAATAACAATGATAACAGCTGACATTCATATAGTGGTCTATGGTTTACAGAGTTATATATATATATATATATATATATATATATATATATATATATATGTGTGTGTGTGTGAATATATATAATGAATATATACCCATTAGAACCTCACTATATATATACATATATATGCATATATATAATGTATACTCATTAGAATCTCACTATATATATATATACACACACATATATATGTGTGTGAAATATATATTTCCCTCCTTAGAACCTCACACAAACCTATGATGTAGACAAAGTATTATTATCATTTTTATAGATTAGAAAACTGAGGCTTAGTGAGGTTACATAACTTGATACATGTAACAACCAAATTAAGTGATGGAGCCAGGATTTAAACTGAGGTCTAAATCTAGTGGTCCATTAAGTGAATAATACTTCTCCCCTACAGAGTCTAACACCAAGTACTATTTTGTTCAACATCCTTACACACCTAAGTCAGCTTCTGTGGACATCTGCTTCCTTCCATGAACACCAATTATATTACCCATTCTCCCCAGGAGTTATCCCCAGAAGCGGGGATTGAGACAGTTTTGGAGATGGGCAAACAATTAGGGCAGCAAATACAATGTTCTTTTCTAGGTTCTCTTTGCAGCCTGTCCACCACTCCTAGGACCTGACACCCTATGTCATTTCACCATCTGCCCCTATGTTGAGTGCGTGTGTGTGTGTCTATATATGTGTATACATATGTGTATATATATATGTACATGTGTGTCTGTATGTGTGTATATATATATATATACATATATGTCTTCTTATCAATGAGCTCCCCAGATTGATTCTGTATACTTCAGGGGTTAGGGATTTCTTTGGTCATGAAACAGATACTACCCAAGAATATTGCTGCTGTTCAGTCGTTTCAGTTGTAATCGACCCTTCATGACCCCATTTGGAGTTTTCTTGGCAAAGATATTGGAGCGATTTGCCATTTCTTTCTCCGGATCATGTTACAGATGAGGAAAATGAGGCAAACAGGGTTAAGTGACTTGCCCAGGGTCATACAGCTATCAAGCGTCTAAATTTGAACTCAGGAAAATGAGTGTTACTGACTCCAGGCCTGGCACTCTACACACTATGGCACCACCTAGCTGCCCACCCAAGAATATAGGGTGTTAAATAAAGACAATACATTTTATTCTGTGCCATGCAGCTCAGCTGGAAAGACATACTACATATACAGCATATGTGGATTATTTTTCTTTGTGACTTACTTTGACAGGTTTTCGAGACTTCTGGGCAAAACCCTGACCATGGAAGCCTCTCAGAGATTTGAGTCCTAACAAATGTGATCCTTCCATCCTGAAACAGAGACATGAAAGTTATTAGAGAAAGTAAGAGGAAAATAAAAGCTAGTGAAGGGAAGATCTTGGAGGATCCCTTCCTCATATTTACAGCAGCAATGCTTTTACATAATACTTCACTGTTTTATGGTTTCCCTTTTTAATCTTTGCTTCCTAATCCAGTGGCAAAGAAATGCATCATGATCAATAGACAAGTACAGAACACATACTATGTGTAGAGCACAGGATGTATAAGATACAGTCTCTGTCCTCAAGAGACTTATTCTAGTTGGGAAGATAGGAAATGTACATTGTAAGTCAAAGGCAGAATGTGTTAGCTATATGATGAGCTGTTGTTCAGTTATTTTCAGTCATGTACCACTTCATGACCCATTTGGGGTTTTCTTGGCAAAGATACTTCAGATGTTAGGGCTTTCTTCGGTCATGAAACAACAGATACTACCCAAGACCTGTTGTTCAGGCGTTTCAGTCATAATTGACTCTTCATGACCCCATTTGGAGTTTTCTCGGCAAAGATACTGGAGCAATTTGCCATTTCCTTCTCTGGCTCATGTTACAGATGAGGAAAATGAGGCAAACAGGGTTAAGCGACTTACTCAGGGTCATACAAACTAGTAAGTGTCAGAAGCCAGATTTGAACTCAGGAAAATAAATCTTCCTGACTCCAGACCCACTCTACGCATCATGCCACCTAGCTGCTACAGGAGTTCTGAGAAAATGGCAAGACCACCATAAAAGAAAAAAATCCAGTTATATTTCATGGAGACAGAAGAACTTTCGTTGGGCCTAGAAAAGTGATCCAATGAGGTGGAGAGAGTGTTAGACTGGACTCAAGAGACCTGGATTCAGGTCACAGCTCATTTACTGGATTTGTGACCTGGGCAAAGCAATTCCCCTTTCTCAGCCTCAGGTTCCCTCATATATAAAATAGGAATGTTTAAAATACCTCCCTAATAGGTTTGACATAAAGAAAGGGCTTTGTAAGTCTTAAAGCAATAAGTAAATATAATTTGGAGTCGTAGCTGTTAAAAGGATAGGACATAAATAAGCTGAGAGGCCTAGGAGGACATGCCAAGTAGTATAAACAATATAACTGAAGGCACTGAAGTGAAAATCAGAATTGAGTGATCAGAGAACAATGGGTAGACTAGTTTAGCTAAAGGAAAACAGTGGGAGATAAAGTGGAGAGGGAGTGAAGAGCCTAGAAAGACAAACCCTCATTTTGGCTTTATTCTGTAAGCAATAAGAAACCTGTGAAAATTTTTGAGTTGGAGGGAAGACATTCTAATTAGTGTTTTAAGAAAATCAACCTGAACTAGTTATACAAGATGAACTGAAAAAAGAGGCAGAGAATGGGGGCAGCTAGGTGGCGCAATGGATAGAGCACTGGCCCTGGAATCAGGAGAACCTGAGTTCAAATTCAGCTTCAGATACTTGACACTTACTAGCTGTGTGACCCTGGGCAAGTCACTTCACCCCACTGCCTAGCAAAAAAAGAAAAAAAAAAAGAAGCAGAGAACAGTTAAAAAGTTATCGCCACAGTCTAGGCATGAGCCGGTGCCCTGTGGATCTGAACTAATAGTAGCAGCCACAGAAACGGAAAGTAAGGGATAGATAAAACATACATAATATAGTTGAACTGACAGGATTGACTTGATGTAGCAGTTCCCTGTCAACTCTGCACTATAGCTTTAGTCCAAGAGAAAAGTGTGAATGCATGCCAACCACATGTCTACCTTCACACAGTAGAAGAGGCAGTGTTCCATTCTTTTCTCCAAAGCTCAAATCCTAGAGAGCCTGAAAATGATCTTATCCTTTCCTCAATTTTACCCTATCTCATAAAGCCCATCAGGTACTGCTGAGCAGGAAAAATAATCACTATAAAGTATATCAAAGGGCCCAACACCTGTACCTTGACTCCAAGGAGATCCACTTTCAAGTATTTATTGTGTACCTAGTTAACTATGTGCCAGTTACTATAGTACATATAAGAAAGCAAGAACCACCTCTCTGTGTTCCAGAGCTTACAAAAGAGTTTCAAGTATGAAGCAATAAGAGTAATCTAAGCAATTAACATCCTAAAAATTCTTAATCTATTTGCAGCAATTGTCCAGATACACTTCAATTTAGCATTTCTCTTGGAACTCAAAAAGGGAAATATTTCTTTCCCTTGCCTCAATATCTAATCATCACTTCATTTCATTAGTGGGAGATAACTCTTTCTTCCCATGGCAGGCCCACTGAGACAAGGCAATTGTTTCTTTTCTTAACATGGCATACCAAATTCTGGAGCATGGCTCTAAAAAATAACCACCTGGGATTCTGAGGCACAAGGTTTCTGGTGTTTTCATGATGATTCACCTGCTTTGTAAATCCGACTCAAATTTTGAGTCTCCAGTCAAAGAAGTAGGTTGCTTGAAGAATGGGACCGAATCGGTGATTCTCTCGGCCAAAACAGAAGAATCAGGTAAAGATAAGTCTACTATCTTGAGAGTTGGCAGTCCATCTAGAAATGCAGACCAGAATAAAAACTGGTCAGAAAAGAGGCCAAAGATCCCAAGTATGTGGGTCTTAGGACAAATATGAAAAGGCCTTGTCAATTCACCTTCACTTTTCTTGGGAGCTCTGGAAATTGGTTGAAGAATTCGAGGATGGCCCCTCTGAAGCCTTCGGACTGTTGCCCAACATTGTGGATGCGGGCAAACAAGTTGTGGGCAGGTGGTCTCATCCCATTGACTGACATCTGGCAATCTGATATTTATCACAGATTTACAACAGAAACCAACCTCAAGATTATTAGCCATCTAAGGAAACAAGAATTAAATAAGCTAGGAAATATTACACAATACCAATATCTGCATGGCAACATGTAGCCTACACTTAATTTGATTGTGAATACCTATGTCACCTCAAAAAAAAGCATTAGAGGGGTTCAGAAATCTTTAGTGAAATTAAAGAGAAGTGTCAACTCTCTACTGCAAACAGCCACCAAACTAATACAATACTGATACGGTGGCAGATAAACAAGGTGGAAAATGAAAAGAACACTGGATCTGGAGTCAGAGGCCTTGGTTCTGAAGGAGGAGTCTGCATTTATTAATTGTGACCTTGGACAAGCAATTTCTCCTCTTTCCACGTCAGTTTCTTCATATGTAAAATGAAGGGGTCAAATGGTGATCTATAAATTCCATTCCCATTCTAAATCCTACCATCCTATGAAATGAGTAAAAATATATCTTTATCTTGCATTTATATGGCATGTTCTATTTTTCAAAATACTTTCACATATATCATTTCATTTTTCCTCACAACATAAACTTGTTAACATCTATCTATAATGGCGTGTGCTACCAATAATTGTGTATTACTTAAAACATCTAAAATTTACTCCAATGGAAAATTTCTACAGCCAAAGGAAGCAGAAGCCTAGTCCTGATGTTCTCCTAAGAAAGGAGCAAAATTTGGAAGTCAAACAAGCTTAAAGACAAAAGGATTCTGGAACCTTGGGAAGGTCAGAGAAAGAGGAGGGCAGCAATGACGGAGAGTGATCAAATAGAAAGCCTAAGAGTCAATACCACCAGGATTCAAATCCTTGATGCCAACATACAGGGGCTGCAGGCCTCTGGGTAACTAAGATTATAAATTGCTGAGAAATCGCAGTTCTGCACTGGGAGAAGTTCCTCACCGCGAACTCCCTACACCATTTAAATTACAGGTATGGTCCCAAAAAGGCAAATGGGACCGGTCACAGTGAAACAAGACAAGACAGAAGACAGGTCGCAGTGAGAGGAAGAAGTACAGGGCACGGAAGACAGGGGGTGCTCTGGGGAGGTGGCGATGAAAGCAGAGAAGGGTGCATGGGGGACTTCGGGGCACGTGTTAGAGGAAGACGAGGCGTGGACCGGGCACAGGAGAGAGGGTTTGGGACGGGGCTGGGAAAGAATGAGACCAAGGGCAGTAAGGGTCAGGCGGGGCACAGGAAGGAATAGAACCGCGGAGCGGGAGGTCGAGGCAGGTCACGGAAGCAGACACCGAGAGTCAGGACTTGGGAGTCAGGATGAAGCAACACGCCAGGGTCGGCGAGCACCGCCAAGTGCGAAGGTTGGCGGGGAGGCGCGGAGGACGCCCCGCAAGGAAGGACGCAGCTGCGTGGCTCGGAGGGATCCCTGCCCGGGCACTGAGGTCAGAAGAGCTCCCTCAGTGCGGACCTTGCACCCCCATCCCCTGCGCGACACTGAGATGATTAAAGGAGTCTCTAGGCAACCGCGCGCTGCACCCTGGGGGAACCACTGGGAGGGGCGGGGCTTTCAGGTTTCCAGGCCGGGCCAAGCGGGCCTTGGATTGGCGGAAACCCATCGGGGGAAGTCGCAAGGCCTGAGTGCACGAGGCCGGCGCCGCTCCCGGAGAGCGAGGAACGCGCTGGGGCGGGGAGGCGGGTGTGCGAACGGAAGCCCAGGCAGGACACGCGGTCGGGGGCGGGAAGTACGGACGCCGTAGCGGCGCCCTGGTTGAGAAACGCGACCGGCGTAGGTCCCGGGCGCAACTGCCGCCCTGTCTCGGAGGCCGGCGGCGGAGTCGTTGCGGCTCTCCCGGGCGAGACGAGGGCAGAGGTGGCCATGGCGGAAAGGCCAGAGGACCTGAACCTTCCCAACGCCGTCATCACCAGGATCATCAAGGAGGCGGTGAGCGCAGTCGGGCCGGGGCCGGGCTGGGGTCGGGGCCGGGGCAGGGGCCGGAGCCGGAGCCGCAGCGCACCCCACTAACCCCGGTGCCGCCTCCCCTTTGCAGCTCCCTGACGGCGTCAACATCTCCAAAGAGGCCCGGAGCGCCATCTCTCGGGCTGCCAGCGTGTTCGTGCTGTACGCCACCTCCTGGTGAGAGGCTCGGGCCACGGGAGGGCCCCGGGCGGGTCGCTTGTCGGAGCCCAGCGGGGCTGCTCGCCCTTCCTTGCCCGAGGCTGTCGGGCCTCTCCTCCCCGCAGCCCCCCTGCCCTGGGGCCCGGAACGTAGCTCACCTAAATCCCCAGCTCTCCTCAAGGCTCCCGCCTCCCCCAAGAAGCTTTTTCTGCCCTAACCCTAGTTACCCCTCATCGGGTTATTTTTTGGTATTTATGTGTCTGTACACATGTAATATTTCCACCACCGAAATGCAAGCTCGTTGAGGGCAGGGACGGTTTCTGTTGGATTTTGTATCCCCAAGAGCTTCTTGGCTTATACATGGAGAGGGAGCCAGAAACCGGGAAGACCTGAGTTCAGGTCCAGCTTCTGACTCATAACTTGGAAGTGTGACCCCTGACAAGTCACTTTATCTCTCCCCGTGCCCTAGGCAGCTCTCTAAAACAAGTTTAGAGAAGGAGTCGACGTTTTCCTGAACTGAGAGTGCCCTATCCCAGTGAAATCATAATAGGTCCAGTCTCAGCCTCTCTCTCAAGCACTTAGCTTAGTCTTACTCATTTGAGACACTTAAAAAATGTAGTTTGACTTGAGCTTGGAGATAATCAAGTAGAGCTTCCTCATTCTCAAGTTGATGTCACGTAGACTTAGTGATGAAAAGACTTGTTGAAAGTCCCACAACCAATTAACAGAAGTAGGACTTGAACTCAGCTCTCCTTGCTCTTGGTCCAGCTCTGGTACTCCCTCTACTGTGCCATGCTGCCTCCTAAAGGAGGTGAGCTTCGCCACCCCTAGTCCTCTGTAGGAGCAGAGTATTGCTATCGATGTTTACTGTATTAGAAATTTAAATGCGTTAGAATTATGAAAATAATGTTGACATCATGGACCCTCTGAAGAGACTTTAGGGGAGAACCACTAGTATGATCTCAAAGGTCAGCTCTTTAGGCTTCAGTTTCTATTTCTATATGAGTAAAATAAGGAATTGAAAAGATGAAAAGCACATTTGTGATGTGCTCCCTACAACATCGCCTTTGAGGTGTGTAACCCTTCAAGCTTCACATGGCTTAAGATTGCTGCACCTGGCATCTTTCACACTTTCTTTCCTTTACCAGACTTGAGTAACTGTGATTTGTAAGTACAGGTTAAAGTTTGAGGCTACAGGTACTCTCCCTAGAAGTGGGTTTGGTCAGGTGGTCAGATTTGCTTTTACATTCCTTTTAATTGTCTTTAAATGTCTTGAGATGGGAGTTGACCAAGATAATTCATCTCTCCTTTTTTTTTTTCTAAGTGCAAACAACTTTGCGATGAAAGGAAAACGGAAGACCCTAAATGCTGGTGATGTACTATCAGCAATGGAAGAGATGGAGTTTCAGCGATTCATTTCACCTTTGAAAGAAGCACTAGATGGTAACAACTCCTGTGTTTTATTGGGCGGGTTAAGCTTCTTGGTAAATTGATGGTCATGTGATTTAACCAGATGGACTTAATATAGTATTGAGTATTGGATGTATCTTCATTGGAACCTGTCTTGAGTCCTGTAGCCTCTCTACTCTGAAATGGAATAAGATAATTTGGTTCTGTTCATTTAGCCTTGCCTTATGATGGCTTCCTTCTATTTCTAGCATATAGGCGTGAACAGAAAGGTAAGAAGGAAGCTTCAGAGCAAAAAAAGAAGGATAAAGACAAAAGAACAGATTCTGAGGAGCAAGACAAGAGCAGGGAAGATGATAATGATGAGGATGATGAAAGAATGGAAGAGGAGGAGCAGAATGAAGAAGAAGAGGTTGACAACTGAGAGGTTGACAATGGAGAGAATGAGTCAGATGATAAACTTGGGGTTCAACACTGTTGCCTCCACTGTACTGTTTGACAGAGAATTCTGTGGCCTTTTCCTCCACTGCTAAAAATGCTCATATATGAGGACCTGAGAATACTTCTTGAATAATCCCCAAACCAGAGTTTTTCTGAATGAGGTCTTTCCACTTTCATTTTACATAATCCATAAATTGTGACCTTTTGACAAGGTAGGTTATGAATTGCCATTTGATCAAATTTTTATAGGAAAAATATAGAAGATTCATATATTTCACTTGCTGTTTTATGACCCAAATTTCATACTATCTATTATTTAGGGGCTGTAGAGGCAGCTAAAAATTGGAGAGGTTTGAACTCCTGTGATAGATTGACTGTGTAGCTCATTGAAAGAGTAATGGAGCCACTCTGGATTTGGGGGACTGTCCAAAAAGTCTAGGGTAAAGAATGTAACTTTCATCCCTTTGAAAGTAACTTTCAGCAAGGTTCTGCCTTCTTTGGTTTGTAACTGATTATCTTCTCTTCTTGAGTCTTCCTTCCCGTAGTCTCTTGCTGAGTTTGGAAGTTGGTCGCTATTTGCCATGCCCTACTTAGCACTTTGTTTTGAAGTTTGTACTTCACTATGTTAGTGGAGTGTTGGGTCTAATATAAAGTAGGCATTTCACCTCAAAATTCTCTTCCTTTCCCCTGCCTACTGAACAAAATTTTGAAAACAGACTTTCTTGTATATGTAGTCCCTTTACTTTTGGTTTTGTAGTAAACCTCACAAGTATTTCATCCTTGTAAGCGCTTGGCTTTTTTATTTAAGAAATGGCAAGCTCCAAAATTCATTTCTTCTAGGTACTACACAGTCGCTGTCTCCAGACTGTTCTTTGCTTTGGTAACTTGTGACCTTCAATCCAGCTTAATTTAAGAAATGTAAGGTTTTCTTCCAGTCCCAAAGTTGTGATTCTTGTCTTTTAAAGACAAGCTTGATAGAATAACTGTTAATGAAATATAATAATGCTTAGGAATATAATTCTAGTAAACCACTTTTCTAAAGTGGTTTTGGTGGGGCCTTCATCTTTTGTTAGGTTTCCCCTTCCCATTCACTCCCAAGTAGTGTTTAGCTAGAGGGGACTCCCACAGTGACCACATTCAGTCCCTCTATTAAGAGAGCTACCTTGAAAATTGGGAGGAAAGGTTCTTGCCAACTTCTCCCCCTAGTCAGTCTTAATTTTTTTTTGGTCTAAAAAATACTAATAGTAACCCCATTCCAACTGGAGTATGACAAGTGAACAAATGTAATCTGCTATCATTTACTCATTAATGGATTATAGGGACAAGTTTGTTGATAAATGAGGGAAGAATCTCATTTCTCCACATTTGGGGGAAGGAAATACAGTGGTTTGTATAAATAAAAAATGTTGTTTAAATTGTTACCTTTTGCTGTTCCACATCTGTTCATGGTGACTTTTTGGAAAGAACTGACCTCTTCATTGAGTCTTCCATATTTTGTAATATGGGAACTATAGAAAATGAGTTTTGCAGGCCAGCTGGCCGAGCAGGCCAGTCCTAGGCAGCATCAAGCCCCACTCCCAGCCTCAGTGCCAGAGGTGGCCACTGAAGCCCCGATCCAGTACAACCTGTTCCTGCAGCACCTGGGGGGGTGGGGGGACAAGTGGCTCCTGAAGCCCAGCTAAGATTGAGGAGCAGAAGATGATTGAGAAGGCCATGGAGAGCTGTGCCTTCAAGGCCTCCCTGGCCTGTGTCAAGGCATTTGTCTTGGGAGGAGCAATGGAGTGTTCACTGCTGGCATTGATACAAATTTGGGTTTTGACCCAAAGTATCCCTATCAAACACCAACTGCAAGAGAAGTTCTTAAAGATATGGGACAGAGAGGAGTGTCCTAATGCCATTGTGGGGGCCATATTTTCCTGTACCAAGTGTCTGGTAGAATCCTATCAGGGAAAATCTGACTGGAGGAACTTTGTCCTCAGGAGCTGCATTGCTGGAGGAGCCACTGGCTTTTAGAGCTGGTGTAAAAGCTGAGGCCATCAGCTGGGGAGGCTTTGCTGCTTCCTCTGCTGTGATCGATGATTATTTACAATGAGAGGAGCTTCTCGTGGGTCAGGAGCCATGCAGTCTTTGAAGGACTTTGCCTGGACCATGAGTGTGAAAGATTCACTAGGTTTGCTTCCCCTCTTCTTGAGTGGTGGGTGACATGAGGCAGGCTCTGTTGGCTGCTGCTGCCTTCGGTTTTGTTAACAGCTACACTCGGCTCTTTCCAGGTGCTGGCAGACTGCCTTTCAGGGTGATCCTCAGTCCTTCCTGGACTCCACCCAGAAATTTCTAGTGAGAAATGCCACAGAATAGCCCCATTGAACAGATCATGTACAGTTTGTTGACTTCGAGGAATCCTGACAGCAACTGTCCATCCTGCCTTTGTTACTGCTAAAATAGACATTCTTTACTATCCTATCTTGGGATTTATTTCAAGCAACATATCATAAGGTCCTTTTATTTGAGGGAAGGGGGAGGGTGTAGGGGGCAAAGTAAAATTTAGCCCATTCTGTGGCTAGGGAATGGTTCCATCCTGTTGGCTACCACCAGGCCATCTTTGCTGTGGAAACTGTATATTTAAACACAGTTTGAAAAGACAAAAAAAAGAAAGAAAGAAAATCAGTTTTGCAGCACCCTGGATGGCCAGCGGGTGTTCCTCAAGTACCAGAAATAGCTCAGAGTTATGTTCTTCATGACACTGCTTTCATTGATTAAATATTTTCAAATCTTGAAAATTATTTGAAATTATTACCTCAAAATTCCCTTCTCATTAATTCAGCCTTGTTAATTCTTCTTTCACAAGTATATTCTTTGCCTACTGGGTCATGTCATGAATGAATATTTGTTAAATGTTGAAAGAACTTGGAGGGGGGAAGGATTGTGTTGTGCCTAACCATGAAAAGACTAAAGGGGAGGGAAAGATAGGATTGCTGGTCTTTAAAATACCAGTTTGGAAAAGAGAACAGGTTCGTTTTATTAGGCTCCAGAGGGGAGAAGTAGAACCCCGTAAATAGATGTAATAGAAAAGCTACTGCCAATTCATCATACAAAGGAAGCTCTTTCTAGCAACTAGAGGTCTCCAATAAATGAGGTTGCTTTGTGGGAAAGTGAGCTGCTGCTTCCTGAAAATATTCAAGAAGAGCCTGGATGACCACCTGAAACTGTAAAGAAGGAATTGGCTTTTGAGTTTGGTTTTTTTTTTGTTGTTGTTGTTTAGTTAACAAGTATTTTCTCTTCTTCACTCCTCAATTTGAAAGAAAAACAAAATCCTTGTTAAAAAATATATATTCATAGTACCTGCCTCCCGTGACTGGTATGAGAATTAAATGAGGTAATATTTGTAAAGTGGTATATAAATGCTAACTATTATTGTTATAGTCGAGCAAAACAAATTCCCACGTTGTCTACATCCAAAAACTGTGTGCCTCATTCTGCTTCTCGAATCTGTTACTTTGGGTGGTAGGTTCATCATCACTCCTCTGGATTCGTAGTTGGTCATCGAATTAATCAGAATTCTTAAGTCTTTCAAAATTGTTCTGTCTTTACAGTGTTATATGAATTGTACTCCTGTTCACTCTTTGTTCATTTTGCATCAGTTCATGTAAGTCTCCCCAAATTTCTCTGAACCCATCCCTTCAGTATTTCTTATGGCACTGTTGAATTCCTGTACCATAATTTGTTCAGTCATTCCCCGACTGATTGGCATCCCCTTCGTTTCCAATTCTTTGCCACTACAAAAAGAACTACTCCAAATATTTTTGTATGTGTGAATCCTTTTCCTCTGATCTCTTTGGGTATAGGCCTAGCAGAGATTATTGCTGAGTCAAAAGGTTGGTATGCAGTTCAGAACCTTTTGGGGCAGAGTTCCAAATTGCTTTCCAGAATGGAAGTACCAATTCATAAGTCCACTAACAGTGCATTATTATGGCTGTTTTACTACAGTCCTTGCCAACATTTGTCATCTTTGCCAATGTGATGGTTGTGAGGTGGAACCAAGAACTGCTTTAATTTAATTTTAATTTCTCTATTAGTGACTTGAAGCTTTTTTTTTTCAGATAGCTTGGATATAATAAGTTTCCTCAATTTGCTGAGAGGTTGGAGTAGTAGCAAACTTCTAAGATTCTTGATGGAGTTCTTGCCCTGTCACACCTGAATTACTGTACTTGCCTCTCAGCTAATTTTCCTTCTAGTCTTCAATCTGTACAAAAACCACTTGCATTGTGAGTTTGTGATGGCAAGTCCAACTCCAGGTATTCAAGGTCCTCCATAAATGTGGCCCCAACTTTAGTATCCAGCCATATCCTCTGCTATTCTCCTACATACACCATTTGCCCCGTTCGCTCTGGTCTCTTTAAAACACTTGTGTGTCGTTTTCCAATGTCCTTCCAACTCCTGCCTCGTAAGAGCAGCCCCAAAGACTCCATCCCACTTGATTCTAGCTCTTCTCTGAACACTCCCTGCATTTGTTTTCTAGTTCACACACTTGTGTCACGTCCTGTCTATCACAGTACTGTAAGCAGGCGAGGAACCGCGCCGTCACACGTGGAAGCTCGGTAGCTGCTTGACCTGTGTCCTCCTTCCTTACTGGAGTCATACGCCACAACCCTCCCGCCTCACCAGCCACTCATTGGTCATCCGGCAGGCGGTTTCGCGTAGAACTTTGATGTCAGCAGGGCAGGGGATCCCCCGCGCGGCGACAGGGTCCGCACCCCCATGGGATGCTCAGGCAAAGTAACGGGGTCTGGTGAGTCCACGGCCCCCCCGCCCGGGGAGGGCGAAGCCGCGGGCCCCGAGGGGCGGGGCCTGGCCCGGAGAAGCTGCTTCCGGGTGAGCCGCCCCACCCCCACGTGGGCTGATTTAGAAGCGCGGCGGGCGAGCTCCTGGTCGGTCGTGTGCTCAGGCTCTCCGCAGCGGCTCCTGGTAAGCGGGGACCTGGGTTACGGGCTGGCACCGAGTGACTGGGCCGGGGAGCCTCCCGGGGAGAGCGTGCCCAGCCGCCCCCCACCGCCCGGCCAGACTGGGCAGCCCTCGCTTGGAGGGTCGCCTCCCCCAGACGGACCATCACAGCCCGGAGCTCCACCACCCCCAGCCGCGGCCTCTCCTCCCTAGCGCGCAGGGTGGGAGCGGGAGGCATGATCGAGACGTCCGAGTTCGTAAACTTAAGGATGTTAGAGCTGAAAGACAACAGCCGGTCCCTCGTGCCTGATTTTACAGAAGTAGAGTAAGAGAGGGAATTGTCCAAGGTCACACTGTCAGTGAGTAGCAGAGTCTAGTATCCTGGCTCCCTACAACCTTATTTCGGCCCCAGGCTTCCTTCACCGACTCCAGTAGAGCCATCCTTCCCCCAGTCGCAGCCTCCTGGATGCAAGTTTCCCCCGGGTCCGTGCTAACCCAGGCATGAGCCCTCCTGGCCTCTCTCCTTGCTGCCCTCTAACACGGGCTGGGGAGCCCGCTTTCCCTGCCGCTCTGTTCCGCTTTACAAGGTCCCAGGGTTTTTAAACGTCTCTGGTTCAGACCGAGTTCCTTTCCTTTGACTGCTACCGTAACTGTGCATCTGTGCGGCCCCTGCGGATATGGAAAGCAGAGTCAGGGCTCAGAGCCAGGGCTGAGGTCACATGGCTTGCCCTTGAGTATACCTTGGGAGCCAGACCCACACTAACCAAACAGCCTGAGCCCTTGCCCTGCGAGAATTGACCCTAGGACTTTTTACCTTCTCTCCCAACTCCCAGGACCCAGTACCAAGACACAAAAAGTTCTCTAGCTTCAAAGCTACCAGGGCAAACTACCAGTCTAGGGTAGTGAGAGTATAATGCCCCTTTTCTGACCGAGTAATTTGATTTCTCGGTCCAGACAGTACCCACTCCCCACTCCTTGGCAAGGAGACTGTATTTTCCAGACTGTAAGCTTAGGGAATTTTTTCTGCTTCTGCCTGGCCGACTGTGCCTTTGTCTGTTCCTTTAATGGCCCTCTAGGCTTTAGTTGTCTAATGTGATGGTATTTGCAGTTGCTCCCTCCTGCCTTATAACCTTCTTATAAGCCAGCACCCTTGGTAGTAGTGTCTGCTGAATTTGTTGCCCACTTGTTGCCAACCAAGGGAGAGTTCTTCTCTCAACACTTAAAAAAAAAAAAAGTACAAGTTTCCTGATGTTAGATGTGTTCTAGTAGAAAGGGCATTTGAACAGGGAATATGAGACCTGGGTTCTAGTTCTGGTGTGACTACTAATTGTGTGACCTTGGGCAAGTCATTTTCCTGCCCTGGGCTTCAATTTCCTCTGGAAAAAAAAATGGAGTTGGTCTCCTAGCTTTAATATTCTAGGATTCTATAATAACTTCTCCGTAGCACCAGGATCTTTTTGTCTGGTTCCCTGAATCTGGTTGTTGCTGGTGGCAAGCTGTGATCTCAGACTCCTTCATTAAATCACTGGTGAAATTACAAGATAGGACAGTATTTGACAAGTATACCTGTTTTTGAAAGGTTCGCCCAGCCTTTCACCCAGTTATCTGCCAAAGCTTCCAAAGTCTGGAACAACTCCTCCTAGATCTGTTACCCTGCCTAGCACCTGACAGTGCAGAGAAGCCAGGCCTTGTGAAACAGTAGCAGTTTTGGGTGAAGGTGTGGTAGAAGAGGATGGAGTGGTTGACTCAAATGGGGTGAATGAATTATCTGTGATTTCACCAGTCCAAGACTAGCCCTATCTCCATATAGTGATATGATGGTATCCAAGAAGTGGTTGTTCTTGGGATTGCTTAAGAGATCTTCCTCTTGCATGCTAACCTTGCACCTACTGAGGACAAGGAACGAGATAGATTGACACTGGTATAAAATACCTAGCAGAAAGTTGTCTCACAAGAGTTGATGTTCAGAAGCCAAAGAATTGGGACCAGTGTTAGTTATCTGCTCCCTCTATCATACTGTAGGTTCTCTTGCCCCTCAGAAGTGTAAAAAATCATATAAGATGGCAGAGCTCAAGAGACTTTTGAAATCTATCCTCTTCATTTTACAGATAAGGAACCTGCGGAGGTCTTTGGGATGTGGGTAGTTGGGCGAGCGCAGTGTGTAAGCCTGTGGCTCACTTCTATCCCAGTTATGGCCTATCCCAATATGTCTGTGGCCCTAAGATAGGATTTTGGAGAGAGATAGAGGGCTGAGTGTATGTACCAGGGAAGGTGGCAAAATTTGAGGGGGAAAGGATACTGGCTTGGTAGGGAAGAGGAAGAATGTGTTGGGGGTGGGGAAGAGAGGTAGTGTGTTAACCCTGGGGTGTGGCAAAAGCCTGAGGCCTTGTGTTTCTAGTGATAACACAACCATTAAACAGAACTGGGCCTTGAAAATTAAGATAGGGCTACTAGGTTGACTGGGAAAGGAGCCTGAAACTGCCAGGTGCCCAGAGTTCATCAGTAGTAGATTAAACAGCAGCAATACCAACCTACTGGCCACATTGGAGTTGTAGGAGACCCAGCTGGGGTAAACTAGCCTAGAAAACTCAGTTGCCCCATACTGATCACCTCCCACATCTCTAAGACCTGCCTGCCTGCTGGAATTCTTGTTATTTATCACCTCAAAATTGATGTATTTAAAACTGAACTCTTATCTCTACTCCTCTAGCCCAAAATTGTTACATCGGTCTCTTAATTCATGCCCCTGCTTCCAGTTTCTTCCCTTTTCTAGTCAATACTGTACCTGCTGCCAGATTCAGCTTCCGAAGGCACAGCTCTGATCATCACATAACTCCTTTGCTTCCCTGTTACCTGTGGGATGCAAAGTTTGAGCTCCCCAACCTGGGCATCAAGGCCTTCTACAGTGTTGCTCCTACCTTTTTGTGTTGTGTGTTTATCTCTGTGTCTGTGTGTATATACATATATATGCATAATCATTTGTATCTTTTTTTCTTCTTAAAAATTGTAAGATCCTTGAGAGCAGGAACTATCTCTGAGCCTTCTTTTGTCTTGTTAGAGCCCCTCGCACAGGACTGGGTATGGGGCAGTCAATAAATACTTCTTTGTTTGTCTCCAGAACTCCTGCTGAACCCCAGTCATGCAGCCAGAGTCCTTGCTTCACAGCGGCTACTTCCACCCCCTATTGCGAAACTGGCAGACAGCGGCCAGTACCTTTGATGCCTCCAATCTCATCTACCCCATCTTTGTCACGTAAGTTCTTGGGATTATGGCCAACTTCAGTCTGCTTGTGGAGTTTGGTAGTGGGAAGAAAGGTCTGCAGAGGGTCAGCTTGCACCAAACTGACCCGATAAGGGCATCTGGCTACTGAAATAGGCTTATCTGCCTGCCTCCTCTCTCTCTGGGGAAACTATAAGCCATCTTTAGAAATTACCAGCTCCTGACCTTCCCTGTTTTACCAACTTGAGCAAATAACTTCCTCTTTGAGCTTGTGACTTGTCTGTAAAATTAGTATAATAATCTTTCTCCTGCCCAGCTAACTGATAAAATGATTAGCAAATCAAATAGTTAGCACATTAGCAAATACAATGGTTAACAAAGTACTTTGAAAATCATAAGGGGCAGCTAGGTGGCGCAGTGCATAGAGCACCAGCCCTGAAGTCAGAAGGACCTTGAATTCAAATCCAGCCTCAAACCAAACACTTGACACTTACTAGCTGTGTGACCCTGGGCAAGTCACTTAACCCCAATTGCCTAAAAAAAAGAGAGAGAGAGAGAGAGAGAAAATCATAAAGCTTTCACAAAGTCTTAAAATCTAATTGTGGGGTATTATTGTTGTTGTTGTTGTTGTGATTATTGTTACAGTCAAGAGATAATGAGCAAGAGGCTGAGTGGCTCTTCAAGCTGACCTTCGTGGGCTACTTGAGTGCTGGTGTGAGCACCATAGGTCGAACATCTGGTCATCAATTTTGCTGGGGTTGAGAAAGTCTGTTTTGTTATTTCAACCAGAGATAACTAGGCTATGGAGAGTCCTTTCACACCAGTAAGACATAGAAGTAAAACAGAAAGCAAATGTATTCATTGACAATGCGAGCTGTTGCTAGCCTCAGTACAGGTTACTGGTCTCCTGTCCAAGATATACCCCTATACCCTGATGGGTGGATCTACCCAGGGAATCAGCTTCTAGATCAAAAGTGTCAAGACACTTCATTCTCCATTTTTATATCTTCTCAGCTCCCCCAGTTATCTTTTCCCCTCATCCCCTACCCATCCTCTCACACCTTACCCCCTCTGCTTCCTCCAGGGACATACCTGATGCTGTGCAACCAATCGACAGCCTTCCTGGCATTGCCAGGTAAGAGATGCTCCTGGAAGATCTCTAGGAGAAAGGAAGAGTGGCTAGAATTCTGGGTTAGAAATCAGGAGATCTGGGTTCTAGTCTAGGCTCACCCACTAACTAGCTGTGTGATCGCCGAGGTAAGTCACTTTAAACTCCCTGGCCTTCAGTACCAGATGAGAATAATTCAATCTGCCCTACCCCTGTCATGAAGTTTTTATGAGGATTCAATGAGATAACAGATGTAAAACCACTTTGGGAAGTATGAAACGTAATGTACAGCCCCCCAGCCTATAATATCCCTATGCCCTGCTCCTTCCACTCCTGCCTTGATCAGACTTTTATTAAACACCTAGGGATGCAATACCCTTCACAAGAGAATGACACAGATAGGTCCAACCTCTCTTGCTCTGCCCAGCTTCAATCTGAAACCCTAAGATAAGGTCCCAAAAAGGACAAGCAGGCTGTCCAAGGTTCAGGCTGCCCTCCCTCTTTCCCCAGGTATGGTGTGAATAAACTGGAAGAGATGCTTCAGCCCTTAGTAGCCAAGGGCCTACGAAGTGTCCTGATCTTTGGGGTACCCAGCAAAGTCACCAAGGTCAGAACATGGGTAGCAAGGTGTGGAGGGGTAAAGAAAGGAGAGACTTAACCTATCAGGGCAAGAGAAGGACAAGGGGGAGAATGTATGGTGGGAGTGAGAGTTGAGGATCTGCATGGTGAAAAGGCCTGGATATCAGTGATAAAGCCATCCTCACTCAACCAGGATGAGTTGGGCTCAGGAGCTGACACAGAAGACACCCCAGCCATTCAGGCAATCCGTCTGCTGCGCAAGGTGTTTCCCAGTCTCCTGGTGGCCTGTGATGTATGCCTGTGTCCCTACACCTCACATGGTCACTGTGGTGAGTCCGGAGCTCCGCATTCTCTGCTTCTGCTACCCACTCCTGTCCCCTCCAGTCCCATCTCTTTCCTCCTGTTCTGCCAACAAGGCTAAGTCCTGGTGAATATGGGAGTTTTCCTGGGTTGGGAGGCAGAGAGGGATCCCAGAGCCTTTCCTGAGTCCCGGCTGGGCGTCCTGCAGGGCTTCTGAGGGAGGATGGCTCGTTCCGGGCTGAGGACAGCAGCAGGAGGTTGGCAGAAATTGCTCTAGCCTATGCCAAGGCAGGTAAGTAACTAAATACCACGTGGTCCTTGATGGAAGGGAAAGGAAAACATGGTCTGGGTATATGAAGGCCTGGTTGGTTCTGGGAGACAAACAAAATACAGAATCTCTTTGTCTACAGAATCACATGATTAGAGCTGATAGGAACCTTGGAGAATGTCTAGTTCAATCCCCTCCCATCTTCTAACCCCTCCTCTAGGCTGCCAGGTGGTGGCTCCATCAGACATGATGGATGGGCGTATTGCTGCCATCAAAGAGGCATTGATTACCCATGGGCTTGGTAACAAGGTAAGGGGGCAGGAAGTTGAGGTTGTGCCCTGGAAGAAATGGCAAATAAGAGGGAGGTGGCTGCCAGGGACTGAAAGCCACGCCCCTCCCCAATCTGTGCCTAGAATCTGTGGGCTTATCAGCTCATAGGATATAGAGCTAGAAAGTCCTCCTCCCACATTTCACAGATGAGGAAACTGACTCGAAAAGGGTAGCTGATTTATCCAGAGTCGCAAGGGCAATGATTGGAGCTGGGACCTCCTGGGGCTGCTGACTCCAAATTTAAAGCTCTTTTGGTAGAATACTCAGTCCAAACTATCTCCCAACAGGTATCCGTGATGAGCTACAGTGCCAAGTTTGCTTCTTGTTTCTATGGTCCTTTCCGGTGAGTGGAAATTGGAGGGAATGAGAATTGGCACCAGGCAACCTTGTGGTAAGACACCAGGAGCCAGGGCCAAGTTAGCCCCATCCTGATGACCTGGCTTTTTTCCCACTCCACAGGGATGCTGCTCATTCTAGCCCAGCTTTCGGTGACCGGCGCTGTTATCAACTGCCGCCTGGGGCTCGGGGCCTGGCCCTTCGAGCTGTGGTGTGTAAATGGGGACCAGCCCCAGCCCTCCCTACCCCAACCATTCCTTTATCACCCTCCTCTCCTTCCCTTGGAACCCTGTTGCAGGTGTTCCTCCTTCCCCCAACCACAGAATTTCCTACTCTCTGCCTTGGAAGTGGTTTGGGGGAGGAGCTTTGGAGGTCAAGTTCTCCATCCCATGTGCCTTAGGATCGAGATGTCCGGGAGGGAGCAGATATCCTGATGGTCAAGCCAGGGTTGCCATACTTGGACATTGTAAGAGAAGTGAAGAACAAGGTGAGTGGAGGGCAAAATCAAAAACAGAACTGTGAGAGAGGAGAGGATTCTGCAGAATTTTTAAATCACAGAATGAGTGGGAAGGTCACATTTGGTCCAATATCTGACCCAGTATCAGAGTCCCCTCCTATATCATCTCTGCCAAAAGATCATTCAGCTTCTTCTTGGATACTTCTGGTAACAGGGAACTCACCACCTCATAATAAAGCTAGTCAGTCTCTTACTAGTCCTGAAGTTTGACAGATAAAAAAGTCAGGTTGCTCAGGCTTGATCAGAACAGGGCGGGCCACAGTTTGGAGGAGATGGGAGCGTGCTTCCTTAAGGGCACCATCAGCCACTCCCTGTAACTTAGCTCATTCCCCTCTCCAGCACACTGTCCTGCCCCTTGCTGTGTATCACGTTTCTGGGGAATTCGCCATGCTGTGGCACGGGGCCAAAGCCGGGGCTTTCGACCTCAAGACTGCTGTGATGGAGGCCATGACAGCCTTCCGAAGAGCAGGTGCGTAAGGCGGGGATGGGGGGAGGACCCTCCTCTACCACTTCTGAGATACTGAAATAAAGAGTGATTTAGTACTATGTGTCTGCAAATTCTGGTGGGCTGAAGGCTTTGGCTTCAGTTGAGGAAGCAGGCCCACGGTGAGGATATGGATAATGATAGTCACTTAAAACCAAGACTTTAAGGTTCACCAAATGATTTCCTCCTGAGAGCCTTTTAAGGTAAATAGGGCAAATAATATCCCCATCTTACAATGAGGAAACTGAGGCTCTACAAGACAAAGGATTTGCCTAGCTTGGATGTGATGGAGGGAGGGTCAGTCAGTCTGGCCATGAATATTCATTGGGTTTGAGCCAGGTCTCCTGACTCAAAGTGAGTCTGTGCCCTCCCCCATTTCATCATGTTGACCCTCTAGCCTCTAAAACACGTTATGCTTCTCTGGTGGCTGCAAATACCGCGAAAAAGTCCCAGGCAGTGCCCTTTGCTCCTGAGGGTGGGCAGGGCATACAGGCCAGTGGGATACCTCCATGCCAGCCGTGGTACTCCCACTCCCTTTTCTTTTCCTCTAAATACAGGTGCCGATATCATCATCACCTACTACACACCTCAGCTCTTACAATGGCTGAAGGAGCCGTGATGGACAGATAGAGAGTACAAGAACTAAGAATTTTTTTTAAATGAAGAAAAAATAAAAAGATAAGCCAGACGTCTTAGAGAAGTGAAAACCAGAGTAAAAGATGCTTCAAAACTGTCCCTTCTCTCTTCTGCCTGCCCCCAAGTCCAGGGCTCCTGGCCCACCCCACTCCCCTTCTTTCATCGCTGGTAGCCTGTGGGAAAGCTTGGTGAGCGCACAGAGCCTTGGAGCCCTCAGCACCACCACTACCACCACCACCACCACCTCCTCCTCCTCCTCCTCCTCCTCCTCCTCCTCCTCCTCCTCCTCCTCCTCCTCGTCCTCCAGGCAGCTCTGCTCTTCATGCCTCCTGCTTTCTGTGGTCCTGTCAAGCAGACCCCTCACCTGGATGCTCCTCTTCTCTGGGTGTTACTGTCATACTTTCTCTTAGAAAACCTCCAGGTTTTATTTAGCTCCTCGAGTGTTCTGACCTGCTGAGACCAGGGAGATCCTGCCTTCTACTAGAATCATTTCAAGCCGACAGAAACCATCCATCAATGAGTAAACCAGGAGCAGGGCCTTGGAAGAGTAACATTGGCATAGCAGAATCTTCGAGAGTGAGGTGACAATGCTGATATCAGGTGGTGGAAAGAGCATTAGACCTGGAGTCTGAAGACCTGGATTCATCACTTCTCCTCTCAGAACCTCAGTTTTCCTCATCTGTGAAATGGGGGTCTTAATATTGTACTGCTTGCCTCCCAGGATCTTTGTGACAAAAGCACTTTCTAAATGCTATGAAAATGTGAATCATTGCTATTACCATTACTATCTCCAGGGCTGAAGCTTAAGTTTAAAGTGAAGGCAATAGACTGTTGTTGTTGTTGCTTTATGTGAAGGGTCGATTCTGTGATTCTCTTATATCCCAGTGCTGTTCTCTGTGCCTGGTGTCATTGGTTTGACTGTCTCCTGCCTATAAAGACAAAATGCTAGGAAGCAGAATTATGTTGGAAACCAGAGTGAGTTGGTTCTGGTGAGTTGAGGAGGGAAAATCAAATACCACCCTAGTGTGTCAAATTAGTCCAGCATCCTGCTTTTATCTATCTGTATCTCTGCTGCTTTTCTGAGTGAAAATGTGAAAATTTTCTCTTCTCTGGGCCTCAGTTTCCTCTGTAAAATGAAGGGATTGGACTACATATCTTCTGAGTCTGGAGTTGGGGGACCTGTGTTCATATTCTTCTGCTGATGTTTAACATCTCTCTGAGTAAATCACTTAGCCTCTTTGGGCCTCAGTTTCCTCATCTGTAAAATGAGGGGATTAGATGATTTCTGAGGTCCCCTCCAGCCTCAAAGTGCAGTGGTCCACTGGCTGGCAGATAAGAGCTTTTCCTGAAGGACAAAAACAAGTTCAATTCAAATAACTCGGCATCATAGAATTTTGAAAACTAAAGAGATCTCGAGGATCATCAGGATGTCAAAATATAATAAAGTTATATTTTTAAAACCCAGTTTTATTCAGTTCAAGGACAAGTATGATGTGTTTCTCAGCTCAAATTTGTTTCAGTTTGATTACATTTTCTGCCCTGGATCAAGCCTCCCATGATCAGCAGATCTGGGGGGAGGGGAGGAATAGGCCTGCATCCAGATGGGGGCCCCTTTCTGTACGTTTACATAGTACTTGCTGCAGTTGTACTGTCTGCCTCACAGACTTGTGAAGCAGCTATTGCAGATGCTATATTACACCTATTTTAGAGGAAGAAACTTAAGGCTGAGGGGAAGTAATTTTCCCCGATCACAGAGCCAGTCAGCATGGGAGCTGAGATGCAAATCTTAGGCTCTTGCCTCTGTTCATAGGCATTATCTCATAAAGTCATTTCTCTTATGTAATTTGATGTTCTTGCTCCCATTATCAGAGGACACCTGGAGTTTGTTGTTTTTTAGGGTCATTTTGTTTTTCTCATATTGGAGTGGATTGTACTAAGAACCCAGCTCATTGTCCTATATATTCCACTAATCGAAGTGTCGTCTAGTATGGTCTGTGGTGGGGAGAGAGAAAAGCACGTGGGAGGTTCTGCCCCACAGCCTTGGCCGTAGTGGTATGATGTTCTATCCGAGTGTTTTAACCAGACTGGATATTTAAACTGAGGGAGGTAGGACATCAGCATAAAAAGATAACCAGCAGCACCAGGGATTGTAGGCTGGCTGCCCAGTGAGGGGTACAGTTCCAAAGTGTTGGAGGATCCAGAGATTACTTCAGCCTGGGAAGATTAGAGAAGGCTTCATAAAGAAGACAGGAAGCTAGCCTAGTTTTAAAGGACAGGCAGGATTTAGCTGAACCAAGAGGAGGACAAAGAGGGAAAGCTTCCAACCCATCACTGGTGTGAATGAAGGTGTGGAGGGGGAAAGGGGCAAGGCCTGAAAAGGGAGCTGTGAGTTCATGAAGGGGGAGGAATTAATGGAAAGAAAACAGTGGATGGATTCAATGGAATGAGATTAAGACAGCCTTCAGTGTTTGGTTGAGTTTCAACTATTCTTTAAGTAATGGGGAGCCATGGAAAGTTCACAAGCCAAGGATGCTACATGAGATAATGTTTGCAAAGTGCTTTGCCAACTTTAAAGCCCCCTGTAAGTGTCACTATTTAATGTTTATGGGAAAGTCTGGCAATGGAGGGTTGTGGGAATCCTACCTCTGCAGGGTTGTTGTAAGGGTGTAATGAGATCATGTGTAGAAAACTGCTTTGTAAACCTTAAAAAGTGATATATAAATGTAAACTTGTCATTATTGGACAGAAGAGAGCTCAGTCAATCAATAAATATTTATTAAGTGCTTACTTCATGCCAGGCACAGTGCTAAGTGCTGAGGATACAAAAAGAGACACAATAGTCCCTGCCCTCACGGAACTTACAGTCTAATGGGGGAGGCAACATTCAAACAAATCTGTGCCAAGCAAGCATACACGATATAAGTAGGAAGTAATTAAATGTGAGAAGGTTTCCTGTGGAAAGTGGAATTTTAGTTTAGTTAAAGGAAGTCAGGGAAATCAGTACTCAGAGCAGAAGAGGAAGAATGTTCCAGGCATGGAGGACAGAGCTGAGAGGTGGAGCGTCTTGTTAGTAGAATGTCCAGGAGGCCAGTGTCGCTGGGTGGATCCAAGAGTTTCGTGTGGGGAAGTGAGGTATAAGAGCACTGCAAAGGGAGGAGGGGGCTGGGTCATGGAGGCTTTGAATGCCAAACAGCATTTTGTATTTGATCCTGGAGGTGATAGGAAGCTACTGGAGTTTACCTAGGGGAGAGGGAGTGGTGCATGACATGATGAAGACCTGTGCTTTCCGAAAATCACTACTGACTGAATGCAGGATGGATTGGAGTGGGGAGAGACTTGAAGCAGGCCGACCTCTCAGCAGGTAATCCAGGCATCAGGTAAGATGAGCCTCCCTGCTTGGGAGCTTTGACTAACTACGCTAGTATCTCTCCAGCGTTCCCTCCCTAGACCTCCTCACCCTCAGGCCTGTCAGGGGTCTGACTCACTCTCAGGATCTTAAATCTTCTACCTCAGCTTCTTCCTGACACCTCCCTGTCACCCCAGGGAAAGGAAGAACTGGAGCAGGCCCCCAGAAGGTGCCTCCTCCCCACTGCCCTGCCCCTGCTCGCTGGTTGGATATGGGTCTTCACTTCATTTGCCAAATCTTGGACTTTCCAACACATTTTGGTAAATGGTTTTACAATGGTGTTTTACATCATTCCTATTTTGCAGACCAGGACACAAAACAAAGGGGTTCAGTGAGTGACCTAAACACCCAGCTCTTTAATGACAGCTAGGACTGACTGGAGCTTGGGCTTCAAGGTTTCCAGTCCATTCATACCCTTTCCATTGGCCGACACTGCCTCATTTAGGAGGTGAAGAGTCTTTAACCCATTTAATTCCTCAAGGAGCTTCCACTCACTGCTACGACCTTTTATCTGGACGTGCAGAACCATTCATGCTCTGTTCTTCAGATGATTCCTCAGTGGAGGAACCATCACCTGGATCCTTGGTGCCCAAGACCAAATACAAGGGTGTAACAGTGCATGGAAGCTCCCTGAGGGTAGAGCATTCTCACTTTTGTCTTTGTATTCTCAGCATCTAGCACAACTTATAATGCACAGTTGGAACTTAATAAAAACTTGTTGAATTGGGTGAGGTCTAACGTCATCTGTGGCCAAAGACTAAATGTTTTGTTCTGTGGCCACTTGAGGGAGGAATAGGAATTTAGGCCCAAGTGAGACTGATATGTCTCTGACCATGGAGGAATTTATCCTTTTTCTCTAGAATAGTTATTGCAGTAGGTAAAGAATCTGAGATGAAAGCAGGGTGGGGGAAAATCCACTTTCTTTTCCCATGTTTGCCTTCCCTCTGCAGGTTGGAGGTCAGGTTCAATCTTCCTGTGCCTTCCTCCATGATGCACAGGAGTTAGGACCTGCTCACGAGTCTTCCTTGAAGTTCATCCAGTTGGCCCAAAGGATCAAATCACTGAACCAAAAACTTCCCATTTTCTCCATGCTTTAGAGAAAAATCTTGTGATTTTATCAGTATTCATACTCCTTCCAAAAATGCAAACAGCAGCCCACCCTGTACTGCTGTTGTCTTTGTCCTCCTAGGACCCAACCACAGGCCATCAGCCCCTTCAGTGTTAGGGGCCTACCTTCAGGTTTGGATTTGACCATTGCATGGATACCAATGGAGTGCACAGGCTGTCTCTTAGCCTCACACTCACTATGTGACCAATATGTATATTTTGCTCCTGTCATTCAGCTCTCTGGTATCTCCTTGCTTTTCCTGTGCTTCTCATTTGTAACATTGTCTGCTCTAGCCCACCCCGCACCATTTCCATTTTATTTATTCTCAGCTGTTTTTCTTTATTCTCTTATTCTGTGACTTGCAGCTGGACATCACCAGAATATTTTTTAAATGAAAAAATGATGCTTCAATTTGCACTTAGAGTTCATCAGTTCCCAGTTCCCTCTCTGGAGGTGGATAGCATTTTTCCATCATGAGTCCTTTGAAATTGCCTTGGATCATTGTATTCATCAGAATAGCTAAGTCATTCACAGTTTGACCGTCATTACAATTTTGCTGGGACTGTTTCCAGAGATTTCATTCTGTTTGCTTCACTCTTCATCAATTCATATAGGTCTTCCCAAGTTTTTCTAAAACCAACCTACTAATCATTTTCATATACCATAACTTGTTCAGCCATTCCCCAATTGATTGGTCACTGTTTGGACTTTGATTGACTCAGAATGAATATAAATAACAATTGTTTCTGTTTTGGCCAGAAACTCTGAGGGTCTTCCCCTCCCAGATCTATTTTTTTTAAGACCCCTCATTTTATTAAGCCTTAATCACTGAATGGGCACTGCCTCAAACTGAGATCTGTTAGAGACCTTAGCTTGAAAAGGCCAAGGTCCTACACTGTATCCTGGATGACCTCCAGTCATCCTGATCCACATTTGGCCACTGGACCCAGATGGCTCCAGAGCAGAAAGTGAGTCTGGTGACTCTGCATAGGCCTCCCTCACTTAAATCCAATTCACTTGCATGTCATGGTCCTCTTTGAGAATGAAGGACAAAAAGTAGCAGCAACAGAAGCAAGCTATGCCCCTTGCCCTCCTGGGGCTTCAAGTCTAACAGAAGAGACCAGGCAAATGAAAAGATAACAGGAAATCTCAGGGTTGCAGGAACTGGGAAGAAAGAGGGATACGTGTTTTGGGAATCAACTAAGAAATACTGAGTATCTGGTAGCCAGCTCCATATTGTGAGGACACATAAGTATAACAGTCCCTGACCTCACGGAGCTTACAATCTAGCTGGGGTGAAGGACACATGCACACGAATCACTAAAGAGGGAAGACAATGTGTTAAGTTGTGGGCAGCACGTTAAGAATCATGGGAGATCGATGAGCCAGAGCTGGAGTTGGAATAGTCAAGGAAGGTTTCATCGAGTCAGTAACATTTAAGGTGAGTCCTGGAGGATATGTAAGATTCAGAGAGGGGGAGAGCTTAAGTTGGTAAAGTAGAGGACTGTGAAATGGGGTGGGGCCAGATCATGGAAAGTCTTGAAAAGGACAGCAGAATTTGTCCCAAGTGACATAGGACAAGGAAAGTCATTGGAAGCCTTTGAGCAGAAAAGAGGTAGACCAGAAGACTAGTCTGGCAGCAGGTGCATTAAGTGGCCAAGGAGGAGAGGAGTTGGAGCAAGTCAGGTTAAGGTTCTATTAAAAACATTCCATGCAAATAAAACCTTTGCCCTCAGGAACCAAAAAGGAATTTTGGCACCACCCGCCTATCACTAACTTTATAATTAAAAGTTCTGAATCTTCAAGGTCATCAAGTGAAAGAGTAAATTAACTACGATGAAAAGTGAACCCTGTTAGTGAACTAACTTCCTCCTCAAATGATCATATTCTGCATATGCTTTTATATTTACATGTTGTATTACACACACACTAACATATACGCACTCTATA